ATGGCTAAAGTGGAGGGCCGCTAGTGGAGTTTTGTGTGACAAGAAGGTGCCTCTAAAACTTAAGGGAAAATTTTATAGAATGGCAATAAGACCAGCGCTGTTGTATGGATCAGAATGTTGGGCACCCAAGAAGGATCACGTAAGGAGGATAGAGGCCGCAGAAATGAGAATGCTTCGATGGACATGTGGTAGGACTCTGTGGGATATGACGACAAACTCTGCTATTAGGATGTCCTTAGGGGTGGTGTCTGTTTCCGAAAAATTGAGGGAAGGAAGACTACGGTGGTTTGGGCACGTCCTTAGGCGACTACCGTCGGATGCGGTCAGGAGGGTAGAGTCGATTACAGTCGACGGTGCCAGAAGGAAAGGACGACCAAGGCGGAAGTGGGATGACTGCTTGAGATCTGATTTGATGGATTTAGGCCTTACCGAAGACATGACCTATGATAGGAAATTATGGAGGCTTAAGACTAGGGTAGTCGAGTAGTGTGGGTCCAATCTATAGGGTGTATCATCTTTGTCTTCTTTTAAAGGCATTTGTAGTAATTTCCATGACTTTTACTTTTTATACTTTCCTGTTATTGGTATTTATGAATGATTAGAACTGGGCTTGATATCGTTGTCTTCTGTGTATCATTCTCGTCATGTTTCCTATGTATAAATTTAGCCGGGTCTTATGTTTCTGTCTATATACAGAGATTCTTTCGCAGGGATTATTTTGCAGGGATTACTCCCCATTACAGAAGCACATATGGTATTAATGACTGCATATGAATACTGTTTAGTTATGTATTTATGTAATTATTTATACATGTATTGCATTTTATCTGTATTTTTAATTTTTTTGACTGCCGGAGGTCTTTCACGGAAGCTATTCTCAACCTGGCGTTGGGGGCAGCCTACTACCCTACCTCCCCCTTACCCCATACATATGGGAATTGGGTTTTGTTGTTGTTGTTGTTGTTGTTGATTAATTCTAAAATCTAGGGGATTTAATCTATAAATTTAATATATAAAGTAGAATAAAAGATTTTAAAGTTAATGCTCAAATTAAGGCATTAGACAAATTAAAAACAGAATCAAGATCAAATTGCATTAAATGAAAATCCAAAGAAACAAATCATATAAAATGGAAGAAAACAAAGCAGGGCGCCAATGCCGCGAATACGTAACTTTACAAGGACCCGCGCTCTAGTTATACAAATTTTGTTAACTTTCACATAAACACTTCCATTAATGTTAATGACATGTGGCGGCTATATTAAAATTATTTAAATAGTTCAGTTGTCATATCGATGCAAATTTGAAAATGATGGTCATTTGAGATCAAACCCCATAGTTAGGTGGTCATTTATGTAGTTTACCCATAAATATATATTGCTTTCAATATCTGCATAAGTTTGAATAATTTGAGTAAATAAAGAGAGAGAGCACTTTTTCTTTCTGGTGTGGGGCTCATCTGCTTACACAACTGCAGGTAAATTAATGGTGGACTTTAACTAGCTAGGGTGAATATGCTTACCGTAAAAACAATTAAACTTGCAATAGAAGAAACAAATTAACAACTCTAATTTCTTTGTCAAATAAACAACCCTAAGTTTTTAGAAGCATGCATACGTGAGATAAGGTCCTTAATAAAATAAGCATAGTGTTTATATCGTTACAATTTAATTATTGTCTTATGGATCCTATAATAGTAGCTATATAAATTGTCAATTATGAAGTTTGAGTCAAATTCAATCCCCTTAAGATTTAAGGGGATGATGCAAGTTATACGTAGGTCCTTTTATGATGTATTTAATTTAAATCCTTTCTTATGTTTTTTATGTTTAAACCTAGTAAACTTGACCCAGCGCTGGCCCTGATTATTTTTTGACCCGGGACAAAATAAAAGAAATAAGCTTTTATTTTAAAAAAATTATAAAAAATATATAGTATAAAATTAATATTAATTTTTTATTAAAATAAACAAATAATAGAAACCATTCTATCCGGCCCAGGGCCCCATTCCTCTTTTAAATAGTGATGTTGATGTGTCTATACTTAAAAAATATATAGTATAAAAATTATAAAACTTTTATGAGCCGCTTAAAAATATATATAGTATAAAAATTATAAAACTTTATGGGCCCTGGGCAAGCGCCCCTTCTGCCCTGCCCAGAATTGACCCTGACTTGACCCGGACTCGATTACTTGAACTGATTTATCCAACTCAATATCCGATATTACTCGAATATGATAATCAAATTTGATCCGATATCCGCTCTATACCTGACTCGAACCATACTTGATCCAAAATTTAGCGAAACCAAAAGCAAACAAAACTGAAATTAACCTGAATCGAAAATAATCCAAACATAAATTAACTCGAACCAAAAACAACCTGAACCGAAATTAACTCAAACCGAAAGAAACCCGAATCGAATTTTAACCCGATCAGAAGAAACTCGAACCGAATTTAACCTGACTCGAAAGCAACACAAACATAAATTAATCCTAACTAAAAATAACTTGAACCGAAAGTAAACTGACTTTAATTTATTCAAATTTGATTTGAATCGAACATTGACCTGATATTTTACTTGATAAATGAGTAAAAATGGACGAGTGATTTATTGTTATCGTATATATTTTAAAAATGTGATGAATAGTAAAATAATATATATTTTATTCTCTTTTTTTAATTATATTCCTAGTTAGCTACCAATTTTAGTAATAATTTAATGAATATCAGTATCACCTTTAATAATCGTTTACTGATTTAATATCAATTTTTAGTTGGAGCTGACAGGAGCTGAGTGACGATTGAAACTAACAGGACTGAGCAACGATAGATAAAATTCTTAAATTTTGAATTTCGTGAGTTAAAGAAGAACATCATATTTATATATATAGTATTTGTAAATATATAAAAAATATATATAAATAAAATTATTTTTTTAGCTTAAATAATGAAATCTATCTTGATTTTGAATACATATAAAGAAGTTTGCTTTAATTTAAACAATAAAAGTTATTTTGAATAATAAAACAATTTAAATAAAATTGATAATTTATTAAAAATATTAGATTTATAATAAAAATAATAGAAAACAACTAAAAAAGGAAATAATATTATATTTATAATAAAAATAATATAAAGTTTATTCGTATAGTTTATTTTGAATCTCAAAATTGAACGGATTCATGATGCAAGGGATTAACATACTTAAATTGTTAATTAGTGATCAAAATTGCTCATACCAAAAACAAATAAGATTATTTATATAGTTTATTTTTATTTATAATATTTAATAAAATTTAACATTTATATTATAACTTTTAAAAATCTAATAATTAAAACAATTATATTTTTAACTAATTTGAGGTATTTATAAAATAATATATGTTTTAAAAATTCTCGATTCCTCTAACTAGACCTGGAAAACTTGACCTTAACCCGATTACACGACTGATTTACTAGACCCAACACCCGATATTAATCCGAATATGATAATCAAATTTGATCTGATACCCAACTCATACCCGATCTAAACCATATATGACCCAAAATTTAGTGAAACCGAAAGCAACCCAAATCGAAACCGAAATTAACCCAAACCGAAAGAAACTCAAACCGAATTTTAACCCAATCCGAACTAAATTTAACCCTACCTAAAAGCAACCCGAAAAGAAATTAATCCGAACTGAATAATAAATTAATTTAAATATTTATAATTTATTAAAAATATTATATTTATAATAAATATAATAGAAAGTTTACTTATGTTATCACATAAGAGGAATATAAAAGTAAGAATCTAATTTGTAAGATTGAAAACAATAATAAATAAAGTTTACTTTTCTTTCTTGTAATAAAAATATTATATTTATAATAGAAATAATATAATATAAAGTTTACTTATGTTATCACATAAGAGGAATATAAAAGTAAGAATCTAATTTGTAAGATTGAAAACAATAATAAATAAAGTTTACTTTTCTTTCTTGTAATAAAAATATTATATTTATAATAGAAATAATATAAAACAACTAAAACAAGGGAATAATATTAGATTTATAATAAAAATAACATAAAGTTTACTTATGTTACGACTAAAATTTAACAAATAAAGTTATGTATTATTTTTAAAATTTTAATAAAAAGTTTAAATTTGTAATTGGAAATAAATTTTTTAATAAAATTTTATTTTTTTATCAAATAGTTCTCATTATAAACTTTTCATACACGATCAATATAAAATTTTGATAACAAATTCTAACACACATTATAGGATCGTATTTGTGTCAAATTATCGATTTATCATCTCTAAATGTTGGTATAATTCAAAATATTAAATGATTGAGAACTAAAATTAGGCTTAAATGATAAGATTAACAAATAAGAAGACATTTTTTACAAGAATATATCAATAATTTTATATATACTTGATTAGGTGATTAGACTCATAATCAATTCAACCCGAATTGACATGATCTAAAGGTTGACCTAAACCGAAAATAAACTCATCCGATATTGACCCGACCTGAAATCGAACTGAAAAAATTGATCCGATAATCACCCGACCCGAAATCGAACTGAAAAAATTGATCCGATAATCACCCGACCCGAAAAATTGATTGACTCGATACCGACCCGACCTGATTTACCGTACACCCGAATCAGATCCGATCCGAACAAAATTAAACTAAATATGATCTAGATCCAAAATAACATGACCCGAAATAACCCGACCTAAACTCGATCTGAATGACCCGTTTGCCACCTCTACCTCTAACCATGAAGTTCACGCCCTATGTTTGACGGAGAAAAGAAGTGGATGGAAACCGGAGATATGATTGGTTATGAGTGCAGTTGAGAAAGCCTAATATTATTTCTTTGTTTGGGTTTGGGGTTCACTTTGTCTAAATCATATTGGACCCCAAATTTCGTGTATTTGGTTAATATTATCTTAAATTTGAAATGATCCTTGTAAGTACTTTGTGAAATCGAACAATATACACCATGAGAGATGCGACTTGTCATCTTTATTTTAGTTGTTTCCCATATCAAACTCTAATATACACTTTGACTATAATATATGATTGATACATACTCAGAGCTATATCCAGAAGCCAATGTGTGAACATATATAATTATGAAACCGAGTATTGAGCCATCTGCAAATTACCTCCTGAAGCTCCTCACATTTGATGGCTTTTCACCATCTTCCTCGGGCAGCTTGACTGCAGTATAGGTTCCTGCACCACAAAGGGCTCCCAGTATGGGGGCAGTGAAGTACACCCATATAGCTTTGTAGTTATTTGCTGCCATGGCCGGTCCTAGTGTTCTTACTGGATTCATCGAAGCACCTGTAAATGGTCTGTTTCCACACCACAAAAAAAACCAAGAGTGGTTGCGTTAACTACAAAACAGTATACGGTCCTCTAAGCTGATCTGAAGCATCTGATTTAAATATTTCCTTCAAGAGAAAAAGAAATATCTTAAAATACACTTGTCTCTGTTATATGTTTTAAGTTCTTGATCTATGAAGCTGGCGGTCTTCAATAACCAAACATGTGATCATTGTCTCCTTCCACTTCCACTTCCACTTCCACTTCCACAACCACAACTAATGGATGACTCAGATACTTTTTTTTATATATATATTTCTAAATGGCGGCCTTCTTTGATCACTTTGCTTGTTTTACAAGTTCTCTCTCTGTCTTGTGTCTTTGGCTCTTTGCTTTGCTGTTTATCTTGTCGACTAATAATAATAATAATAAAAAATCAGAAAAATGTTAACATACCCGGCTATGAGTATATTGAGCATTACAGTGGCTCCAACCGCGATTCCCGCCAACTCACCCACCTGCACACAATTCATCTCTCATGGTCACACTACAATATTCCCTCAACATCAATTTTAGTGTTCTAAATCTCTACTTATGGATCCATCACTCGAGCGAATAGATGATCTGATATAGTATTTTATCATTATCATTTAGTTTTTTTTTTATATTTTCATGCATTGGAGATTGAGCTTGCCATTTGCCAACCATCTTCATTGACTATTGATTCTGGAAAAATTGATTTTTTTCTATGATATATATAATTAAATCATAAAGGGGTACTCTTGTCTCTTGGAGGGTTCTTGAGAAAGTGTCTTCGAGCCGAACATGAGAGAGTAAAAAAGAAAAAAGGAAGCTAGCTAATAATGAATTGTGTTTCTGTTTTTAAGGTAGAAAAACATAAAGTATGGAGATGAAGAAGGGGGCTTACAGCTCTGGTGTCGGTGGCTACAGCAGTGACAACAAACATGAGATTGAAGCTAATAATGAATTCCATAGCAAAAGCTTGACCCAATCCCCCTGAAGGAACTGTCACTCCCCCTCCCATCATCGGATGAAACACTCCTTTCAGTGCAAATGCAGCACACAGTGACGCCATTACTTGTGCTCCAATGTACACCGGCACCTTCCCAGAAATATGTTACTCCATTTTAAACACACATACACAAAAATGGAAAATGGAAAGGCGTAGGTTTTAACCCTGTACATGTTTCCAAGGAAAGTGTTTGAGTGCAGCAAAGGCAACGGTGACAGCTGGATTGAGATGTGCTCCCGAGATGTGACCGGTGGAGAGTATAACAATCATGACAGCAAGTCCAGTGGAGGCGGCCAGGCCGATCAGTGTTTCGGAGCCCTGGGTCTTTTGGTTCACAATAGCAGTGGCTGTACCTGCAAAGATCAGTATGAAAGTGCCTATGAACTCAGCTCCCACCTGCAGGTGTCAGTTGAATTCTCAAATCATCTGTTTGACACTAAACCACATAAAGATCTCTCGTATGTTACTTGTGTTTACCTTTCTTGCGAGTGAGACCGGAGGAGGCGGCAATGAGCAGGAGACAGGGGGTAATCTCCCTTCTTCCATGGACCATTCTTCAACACTGAAGCATTTGCAGCTTTTGAGAAGGGATTTTCTCGAAATCCCTCCTCTTTGATCTCCCCTAACCACCCCAAACAGTGGTGCACCAGGAGTACCTGGTGTTGCAGGGGTTGAAGGAGATGACGGAACATCCTCGTTCTCCATTTTTATCACTTATATCCAAAACAAACTAGTAAAAGAAAACAAATTTTGAGTAATAAAAAAATGTACTAGTAGAGGAGAGGAAGGTGAAGTTTCTGCACTGGTTTGTCTCAAATGATTTGGATGTTACTGATGAGCTTAATTAGTGGTATATATTTATAGTACAAACAAAGAGTTGACTTGGAGAATCCCAAGATATAAAGAGAGGACAAAGAATAGCTAGTGGTTGAAACAAAGGAAATAATGGAGGGAAAGGACATTGAGCTGAAATAGTTGAAAAAAAGGGACTTTTAACATGAGAAATTAATTATGAACTTGCGTCTACTTTTCCACCTTTACCATGTTCTCTAAACTACAATGTCTTCATTTCAATTATGGTATGTGAATGGAGTGGGCATCTATACTTAATCACTCACTTTGCCATTAGGACCAGATTAAAATCCAATACATAATTCATTATCGATCTTAATAGTAGAAGAGATAATTGTTTTACTTAGAAATTTTAAGTTCAAACAGTTATATTTATAGGGTGTGTGTGCGTTGTCAATGACCATAAAAGATTTTAGACAAATACTATTTGAACTTTTCATAAATTTAACCTTTCATATTTATAACTTTTCTCAATTTATTCATTTTTACATTGTTATTTAACCAAACAAGTTTTGTCAAATCAAAACAACAATTGAATAATTATAGTCTTTCATAAGACAATAACAAATTATTGTTAAATTATTATTATATCTTGAAAATAATATAACATTTTTAAGTGAAGAACAATCAATTTAGGGAAAAACAAAGACTAAATTAATAATTTTCTTAAAATATAAAAAGTTAGATTTACTAAATTATCTTGAATTAGAAATAAATTGATAGAATGCGTAAATCTTAGAACTAGAATTGTTTAATATACTAGGCCACATCACTATTCCTACTAATATTTATCGATGAGTGGCATGTTTGTAATAATATTTTAATTGAGTAATTAAATTATAATGTTTAGAACAAAAACGACCTGTTTGTTACCATACACATAACCGAGTGGCTTATAGTGTATTTTACCATAATATTACTAAGTTAATAACATAAAATTGACATTGGTTTGATAATTGGTGGACTACTTTTACATTTTTTAATTACATCACCTTCACCGTCAAAACTATATCAAATTATGAAGCTTCGGCAATACTTCCAGGTCATTTTCGAAGATTATGTATAGACAACAACCAATTTTAAATCAACAGATCCATTATGAACATGCATGCATTTCTGTTCATACTGATGGATACCATCGCAGCTTTGAGAAACGTAAAGGCTGTTTTTTGTTTCTTCTTTTCGGAAAACAAGAAGAATAAAATGCAGATAATTGAACATAAACACGAATGCATGATAATATGGTATTGGAATATGCTCTTCCCTGTAAAAGATAAGCCTCAGGGCTCAGGCTCAGGCTCTGAGCTGATGAGCCGAAATGCATATGTCTCTGGGTTCGCCCATGTTTATACCTGTTATTTATTTCTAAGAATGAAAAGAAAATGTTTGGAAATGCAATGAATCATTGAGCACCGTTCTTTTGGCACGCCATACTGTGTTCCCGTTCGAATATGGATGTGACCGTAAACCCTTTTTATTCTCTTTCACTTGTTATGGACGGTTCGTTCATCTGAAACAATCATCGAAATAGAAGTGCCTATGGCGGACGCCAAAAACCAACAACCGCTGATCTGAACAACTCAGTTAATTATTATTTTAATATTGAACATCAAATCTTAGGTGGAACCATAAGAAAAGATCCTAGAAACTAAAGAGTTTTAAGGAAGAATAATAATAGGTGGCATAGATCCTCTCTTTTTGTGGATGTAAATGGCCTTTAATTTCAGCTTTGTTCTCTGCTTCCCTTTGCTGCCCTATGAGGCTTTGCATCTTTATTTTTAAAACTTGTTTGTACATATAAAAAAGTAAAGCGCTTTAGCTTCTTTTTCATTTATTTATAAAGCTAATATATATATAGTTAACAAATACATTGTGGCAACTTAATTGGCGAAGATGATTGCTGGAGATTCTATAATGAAAATGAGGGAAACAAAAGGCAAAATGTTCAAAACGTTGCCTAGAAAGAAATCTTATTTAGAAAGGCTCATAGTGATGGCAGCTGGATTCAATATCAAATTGATCGTCTAATAAAAAGGGCTTTTTAGTTTGTCTTTCGGATATTGACATTTAACAATTTGAAGTTTGAATTTTTATTTCAATAATAGTTTAAAATCATACTTTGAATAAGTAAAGTAGTTATTTTTGTAATATTTTATAACATAATATAAAATTTTGTTTTTTTAATTAATCAATTATATATCTGATCTATTAACCGATTAATCTAGATCGGATACTATAGAGATGAGGACGATTCTCCTAAAACAATTTACTCCATTTACAAACACTAAAATTTAAACCCGTAAACTTACTAAAATAACTTAGTGTGGTGTTTATAAAAAGTTGTTATTAAACTTGTGGAAGGTTGTGATGGGTGACAAGAAACTATTTAATTTAGTGGGCAATGTTCATCATGTTGTCTCGCACGCACTCAAAGTATGGTAATGCATGGACATCAACACGCCAAGTGTCAACTTCATGCTGATCCTTTGATGACAATTTTACCCTTTTGTTCAATTAAAAAAATCGACTACGTAAATGATTAAATGTGCTTTGTTTACTAAGTTGATTGTGTAAAATATGAACATACAATAAATGATAAAACGTTTCAAATTTGTAAATATGAATATCATATTTGTATTAACACTCTTGTATTAATCACGTTAATGTATTTAAACATGCTGTATTTATTAAAATATCCTTTTGTTTGTGAATTGTATGTTTGTGTTGTGCCAAAATTTGCTAAATACAATTTATCTTTATATTTTGTATAAAATTGTATTTAATATTAAAGTAATTTTAAGGGTTACGGAGGTTTTTTTTAATAGAAACTACTAGTATTATATAAAAGTAAAAATATTCAAAATTACGATAAGAGTTTATAACTATCATCATAAACTAAACACATAATTTAGATATTTTACTATAACATTGAAATTAGTAACTTTAGATTATATAAAGACCATACAAGGAAAAGATTAAAAACTCAACCAAAGATTCGAATAAAAAATATACAAACAAATCTGATTGCATTAGCAAACGAACCACAAAAAGAAATTAGGCTATTGAAAGATCACTGAGAAGTGCAAATCATAGCCGAGCGTCGTGAACAACTATCCATGAACGTAGAATCACACATCCAAATTTAATCCGAAGGACTATAGCAAGGAAGATCAACAAAATTTCAAATAAGCGTCATCTTGATCAGTTTAACGTTGTCGAATCTAAAATTGAGAAAACATAAATAAAAGAACGAACAAACAACCGAAAAAAATGAAAAACATGCCACTGAGACAGAGATAAACATGTCATAAAGGCAGGGCCGTGGCTAGGTTGTTGGAGGCCCTGTGCAAATTCTTATAAAGGAACCCTTAGATTTCGAACTTATTTTGGGGCTCATATTTTTTGGGGCTTCTTAATGACAACAACTGATAGATATACTCGATTTCGATGCCCTATTTTCGAGGCCCTGCGCCATCGCGCACTTTGCACACCCTAGTCACGCCCTACATAAAGGCATAATGATTCTTATTAAAAAAACTAAAAACAAAGAGGAAAGAGAATTGGAGGTCGATAACCAACATTAAAACCAGTATCCTCGTATACTAAATAAAATCAAAGAAGAAACCGTTGATATGATCTATGAAAAAAGCTACACAAATTATAAAAAAAGGAGGGAGGGTTATGGAAGAGTTGGAGCATGATAAGTCCACTTAACAACATATAAAGTGTATTTGTGTAATATTTTTTTATTACATAAAATAAGATCCATTGAAACACGTATTTGCTTTGTAGGTTAAGTGAATGGGTGTAGATGGGAGTCATCATCAAAATCTAAACATTGCCTCTTCATATGGGCTGTTGCTACACATGGGAAAAAAGAAGAAGAGTAAGCAAGAACAACAAAGTGTCAGCTTTGTTGTACACAAATGAATATCAAGATATTAGTATTTAGCTGCACCTGCTTTACTTTATTTTAATCATTAGTAGGGATTGTAAAATGTTAATTTTTTATTTTTATTTTTATTTTGTTCAATTGACCTGATGAAAAAAGTAACATACATTAAAATTCGAAGAAAATATATCATTAAGACTATATTAAGTTTTAATTACTCTATCATTAATTTAAAATTAGTTACTAAAATATCTATGATGAAAAAAGTAACATACGTTACTGTATTGGCATGCCACTTCTTTTTGCATTTATATAAATCAAGACCAAATTTTAATATAATTGGGTCAGAATATTGAATGATGGGCTGTGTTGCATATATTCACTTAGTATGAAAGAATGGATTGTAACAGTTGTATATGGCCTCTCTTTCAGATTCTCAATTACAACATAAAAATATTAGGGTAAATATTTGTTTGGATAGATTCGATTTTTTTATACGAGCCTTTTAATTTATTTATAAGTTAAACAATTCACAGTATTTGTTTTAATCAAAAGAAGTTACACTACCAGGATTTTCAGCAAGAAAATTCTTATAAGCTTGACATTTCTCAGTATGCCTTCTAGGGTTAGATGTACCAATATAAGAATCAGTTTTATACTTTTTCACTTTGCAATACTTACACTCGTCATAAACAAAACCATCATTAGATTTGGTGTGTAGTGGTCCCAAATAGGAGATGTTCTTCTCCTAAATTCGGATGAACCAGTGGACTTCCTCTTAGAGGATTTATTTATATCAACTGCTTCAGACAATATATAATTTACATCCCCTTGCAAAAAAACTAGGGTTAGTATGGTAAAAATTAAACCTTGATTAAGCTGCAAACAAAGGCAACTAACAACCTTATACAACCAATCCGAATGAACAACCAATAATACAAACAAGAACTATAGAAAAAAAAAACAATAGATGACAATATATTTACCTCTTTCAGAATGTTCTTCATTCTGATTTGTTGGGTTTTCTCCTACAAAAGAAATGAATAATATATTAATGAATA